ATCTCCAGTAGTTGGTGCACTAAAAAATTACGCTTGGATTGAGATTTACTTGAGGGATTAAACAGATAGTATGCTCCCACGGAGCATGAAATCTTTTAACTACTTATTCTTGGATAACTCCACTGTGCCTACGTGATTTATTTATGTGAAAATATTTGTTGCTTCAATGGGAGCATGCTGTGCATATGCTCCCTCAGAATAAAACTTTATGTTAAATATACTTTTTTGGACCTAAAATTTGGGGATGTAACTTCTAGAACCTAATAAGCAACTTCAAAGGGAAAAAAACTAATAAAAAAACTCTCTGTCTCATGAAAAAAAAAGAGTCCCAAGATTGAACACAAGCCGTCTAATTTTCAAACGGGAAAAAATAAATATAAAACTTTGTGTCTCAGAAAAAACAAAGAGTCCTAAAATTGAACACAAACCGTCTAATTTTCAAACGGAAAAAAATAAATATAAAACTGTCTCAAAAAAAACAAAGAGTCCCAAGATTGAATACAAACTGTCTAATTTTAAGAGGAAAAGATATAGTGTTTAAGAACTCAGATCCCAAATTTCTTTCCTTGAAAATAAGCATATGATAACACACACATATATCCCGAACTTCTGCACCAAAAAGTCCTAACAAGTAGGTTTTCTACAACTGGGAGTAGGTGAAAAGATCCCAATGGAGCATAATATATATATATATATATATATACTCTTTATTTTTTGTCATCCACTTTACTATTCACCAGAATATACTCTTTATTTTTTGTCATCCACTTTACTATTCACCAGAATAGGTGCATACCATATCTCTTTAATGATGGGAATGTGTCCTACATGTTCTATAAAATTAGGGCCTCTTTTTATTTTTGCGATACATTTTTACTCCCTGACTTAATAATGTAGTATAGATAAATAACCCTTGATTCCTTAAATATTCATATAATTCTTTTAATTGGAATAGTGGCAAACATGTTTGGAATTTGATGCCCCTCCTTACTTTATACGGTTCCCACATTTTTTGAGACAACCAGACATTATTCTCTCCTTCCTCGAGAAGGCGTCACAAAAGCAAAAAAAGGTTATTGCCAAAGATTATGTGCTCCGAGGGGAGCATCTTATGCAGTTACTCCCTCATGTAAAATCCTATCTATGAATATTTGTATTATCGCTAATTTCGTTAGTGTGACCTATTTAGCCAAGAAAAGAAAAGGACACTTTATATTTTCTCGAAGACAAATAATTGTCTGACAATAGAAAATAGATATTCTAGTTTTTGGATGGCCAGAACTGGGTGTTTTGAAATTACTCATCTTGTGATTCTAAAGTGGATTCTAAAATTTGACGATCAAGCAAATCTTCTTTGGCGCTTTTGCCTGAGAGAGCAAGTATCTAGTATGCTCCTACATGACCACCAGAAATACTTTAGAAAACTAGTTATTTTGCACACCTCATAAAGACCAAAACAAATGCTTGGTGAGTTGGAAAGATAGGCCAACACTTCTCCCAATTTCTGGCTTTGACATGAAAAGGGGAGAGATTGAGAGGAGGAATCCCAAGATAAAAGAGTTTATGGAATGACAAGTCATGTTTCTCTTTCTAAACATTTTGCTAAGTCATGTTTCTCTCTCTAAACCTTTTGCTTCTCTTAGTATTCATGTTTTGTCTCCCTTATCTTTCCAAAGATACACACCCCAAATAGAACCTCAACCACAAGCCCCTAAGGTCTCTCCAATGTAGTGGTAATGGCAAAAAAAAAAAAAAAAAAGCCACTTAGCAAGACAATCCAAACACGCATCAATAAGTTTATGGTGAAATGATGTTTTGCTCCCGTAGGATTACACTGTACATTTGCTCCCCAGGGCGTATGCTTTTTGAATTCCAATTTTTGGAGATAGAACCTCTTGAATCTAGGGACGAACCTCAAAAAGAAAAAAAAGAAAAAGAAAAATTCAAATCACACACTTTGTGTGCCTCAGTGTGAGGAACTCAAAATCTGAACTTTCTTTCCTAATAACCATCCAGTGATTCTTAGATGGATCACAAAGGTTTATCAAGGAAATTCTTATAAGCAACTCTTTTGCCCGAGAGAGTTAATGTATAGTATGATCCTGCAAGAGCATGTGTATGTGCTCTATTGTTTATATTGTCTCTAGGTTCTAGTGGCTTGACCATGGCTCCCATGGATGCATAAATGGCATAAGTTTATTTGAGACTCTTTGATATACACAAGATCTTATCATATAAATAATAGTATTAAATGCATAGTTGCCCTCATTTTGAAAGCCAAAAGCCAATCTTAAGAAATTCAACCTCGAGAACTAAAGCCCCTCCTTGTTTGTTAAAATACAAGTAGGGAAAGCAAAAGGGAGACGGCTCAAAGATTTACTTTTGGATGAGGTGGTCATTTGCTTTGCCACAAAATACACTTTTGTTTTTGGGTGAAATAAAATGTACTATTTAATTGTGGGTGTGGTTTGCATAAGGCTGAGGCCTTAAACAATCAAAGTAAGGCATACTTTTAAATAGTATTGAAAGATGTTTTAGAACCGAAAATCTTTATGATAACCTTAAAGGTTATTTTCATCTCTAATTATAAAATTTAAAGCTTAAAAAATATGGTAAATCAAGCAGATCTATAAACACTTGAAAATTTTGAAAATTGACAGTCCAAAAATACATTACAAGATGTATTCCAAGGTTTCAATTCCATTTCTTCTCATGTCCAAGCATCTTGAGGTCGACATGATCAATTTGAATATTTTTAGGGATCGAAACAACTTCCAGTGAAATGTTAAGGTACGCCTTAATTTTATTGTTTAGGGCCTCGCTCTTATATAAACTTTATCCTTTTCAACGGTTAGCTAGTTTCCTTTTTCTTTTAGTTTTTGACAATTGGAAGAAAATTAGAAAAATGATGGAAAATGGCTTTGTAAGGAGGCCATGATTATCAATTATAGTAATAATGGGCTTGTGTAAGTTGTTTGTTCATTGTTTCGATTCACTTTCGTGGAACTAATCAACTACATTTTTTTTGTTTTAGATCTAGATATCAATAGTAAAAATGCTAATTTTAATATTAATTATTCAAACATGACACATCTGTACATCATTTAGACACACAAATACTATTTAAAGTATCTAAATTAATAAAGTATCAATCATATGTGTATATATCCTTCTTATGTCTGATTTATGCCAAAAACCATGTAAATGCAAGTCCATGTTGCCACGAGACCTAGTCACCTAACCAGATAAAATACCATATGTGCCACCAGTGAACTATCCCTTATGGGTAAAAGAATTATAGTTAAACTATACAAAACATATAAGTATATAATGAGACCATTGATTTTTAGTATAAAGAGGTCACAATCTTTTTTAGCCATTGGATGTAAAATCCAAAAATGTGTTACAACATTAGATAAATTTTCTTTTAAACTTTGGCTCCAAACAATGTTATATCATCAGCCACCCAATTTTAAATCTAATAGTTAATGATGATTATGACCTCCATGTATCAAAAGTAAATAGTTTCATTGAATACATTTCCATATAACTATATACAATATAGGCTCTTCCACAAACTAACTAGTAACTAGAGCATTCAAATAAGCGTATGGTTTGTATAAGGCCAAGGCTCTAAACAATTAAAATCAGGTGCACCATTAAATAGTACCGAAATATGTTGTTTTACTATTAGAAATCCTTATGACGGCTAGAAAATTTATTTTCATCTCTAATTATATAATTTAAAGTTAAAAAATAGTGTTGATCAAGCATATCCATGAATACATGAAAATCTTGATAATTGACGGTCTAGATAATACATTACAAGGTGCTATATTTTCAATACTTGAAAACTCTTTTTTCTCATGTCCATACATCTTGAGATTGATATGAACAAATTGAAGGTTTTTCAGCATCAAAACAACCCCTTATTAATAATTTTTTGATATGCACTTTAATTTGATTGTTTAGAGTCCCGGCCTTAAATAAACTTTTTCCTTCAAATCATTTTAAATTTTGAGACACTATAGTACCTAATTACCCCAAAATTTTGTAGGCAGCCTTCTAGAACTGCCCTACATAAATGGTGAATACTTAAGTGGCCTTAAGTTATTTGACAATATGTGGGACCTATTTGCCCTAAAAAGATTTCACTTGGTTTGGCAGCTTTCACGCGCGTGCAAAAGAAGAAGTTTGTGATTATGAGGTCCAGCTGTGGCCTACACACACAAAGGTTGACTTATAAGACTAAAAGCTCTTTATAGGTCTATATTTATTATTATTTTTTTCAAAGAATTTCTAATTTTAGTAATTGTTTTTTTATGGTGTCTATTTTTATTATTATTTTTAGCAAGGAATTTCCTTGTTTTTAATAATTATTTATTTACAGGTCCATTTTTATTGTTTTTATTTGCAAGAAATACATCACTTTTATAAATATTTCTACGGTCAAAACTGTGGTCCTATAGGGAAGACCAAATTGAGACCAATATTTGAAAAAGCATCGAGGATTGATTTCGTTTTCGGGGCCGAAACCGAAACTCTACAAAATTTCAAGATTATGGGCCGCATTTGAGGCGACGACGAAACGTCCGAAATTTTTGATTTTGTCCGAGGTTTGGGAGCTGGGCTCCGAAATTTTAAAGCTATGGGCTGATATCAGTGGCCTCGACGAAACTTCCGAAATTTCGGAGCGGGGTTCACGCCGAACACGTTGCCTTCCGCGCACGTGTGCGACACATGAGTGAGATCTGTTTGTTATGGTGGGGCCCTGAAAATACTATTCTTGATAATTTTGGTGCAGTATGATGGACGGTGTGGATTGGATAAGGGTGTGAGATGGGGCTATGTGGGCCGTCGATTTGGGTTCAAAAAGTGGTTCATAATATGTCCCCACCCTGTGACGTGGTGCAGCAACTGCCCTTCTCATGTGACTACCCTCTCTTCTTTTGCCATTGCATGTATTTATACCTGTAAACTCTGCACAGGCCACAACTCACCTCCTCTTCTCTCTTTTTTTTATTGCCTTCTTTCGTTTCCTCTCTCTCTCTCTAGATTTACTTTAGACTCTCAAATCCCCTCTCTCTCTAGAACCTAAACTCTCATGTCTCCTCCTTCTTAATGCTCAAATAAAAACAAACACCTGAAGCCTCTTCTCTCTCTCTTTTACCATGGCCAGTAAGCATATTACTCTACATCTGCAACTCCCTGTGCTTCTTTTTATCTTATTCTTCTGCACATCTACTAAGGCTACTCGTCTAGTAACTCCACCAAAAGGTACAAAGCCCTTTACCCATCTCTCTCTCTCTTATATATATGTATATATATGTCTGCAACTCCTTGTGGTTTCTTAGTACTCAAATGTTTTTAAAAAAAGAAAAAAATCTATGCGTTTTTGTTGGGTCAATCTCACAATCTTCATCTCACTGTTTACAGATAAAATTGACGAGAGAGAAGGTGGTTTGGCAAAGCTTGAATCTCCAAATGAAGGCTTTTTTAATGAAGAAAACATGCAAAATGTATGCTAACTTTGATTTGTTTTTCTATTTGGTGTTGGGTTTTTTATAACAAAGGCTAAAACCCCTCCTTCTCTCTCTCTTGCAGCTTCTTGGACAAGAAGAGTGTGAAGCCAAAGATTTCAATGAGTGTTTGAGGAGAAGGGAGCTTGCAGATGCTCACTTGGACTACATATATACTCAGGAGCACCATAAGCCGTAGATCACATCTCTCTCTATATTAACACTGACGGTGATTACATACTGTTTGAAAGTGATAGATGATTATGTTTATTCCAACTCTCTCTTAACACCTCTTATTTAGGGTTTTTGAAGTTTATACCTCTTTCTATGCTCAAATATTTTTAGGAGTTTCATACTATATTTAGCAAATAGTAGCTCTCTTTTCATAGGGGCCATGGGCTGTCATCATTGTATGGGTTTTTGAGCTAAGCACTTTCTCTTTCTAGCCATGGCTTGTAACTAAGAAAGAGTCAGAAGTTTGTTGAAATTTGGATGTAAAAGTGTAAGTGTCCTTGGAGAAGTGTTTGTTTCATGTGATACTTTGATACTTGTGTATTGTTTGGTGACATGTGTAATTAGGGTCGGATAAGGGTCGTTGCATATTCATGGTGACAACTATGGTCTCCAAACATAAATTTCATGCCCACTTGAATTTAATGGGTATTCCTACCTCAATAAAGGGCGTTTTAGAATTAAATATGCCAAAAGTATATCATAATTAAAAAAAAAGAAAGTGACAATCACACTGTGCTGTTACATGTAAAGTTAGGTATTCATGGGCGAGCTATTGGAGGTACGCTTTTGGAAAATATTTTATTTGAACTTTGTAACTCACGCTTAAATACCCAACTTTGTATCTGACAGTTAGGTGTAATCGACACCTAAGTGTGGTTGTGATCTTCTTATATTAGAAATAAATAATCTTATTTTATGCAATCCATTGATTTTATGGTACTAGGAGTAAATGATCTTATATTATGCAATCCATTGATTTGATGGTCTTTGTAGCGTTCTTCTTCTTTTTTTTTTTTATAGTTAAACGTATAAAACATGTAATTCACGATCGCTTGTAAAGTTGTAATTAATGTGTGTTTCTACCACAATAAAAGCTTCCCAGGTGGTTCAATTGAATAAAAATATACAATAAGGCTAGTAGTCTTTCGTGAAAGAAGGTTATAATCATGATAGTACATATGAATTTAGGCAATTAGCGTTTGCTATTGAGCCCCATTCAGACTTTTTAAAAGGGATTTGTTTTTAACTTCTAACACAATTCTAGGTGCCTAATTTCATATCTTAAGGATGATTGTTTTAGTACAATAAATATTATGCAGTCCCATGGCCATAATAGGTTCATCCGAGCTTGAATCATCAGATCATGATTATATGCTTAACATAACATATGTTTTATATATGGGTGGCACATATGTGAATATTTCTATTTGCTCCGTTACTTTCACTAAATTATGAACACCCATAGTTATAAAGCGAGTTATAAATGTTAAGGTACGGGCTTTGTATAATATGCAAGCATTTGGGCACAGGACAGTTTACTTGCATCTCCCAAACCGATGGATATGGACCACGGCAAGCGCTTCTGAACTTTTTTAAACCTCGATGATGCCAACAAACCTTTCATTTTTTAATATTTTTAATTGCGTGAAATGTCGTAGTTGTGTATTTTTCCAACAAGCCTTTTCTTAGTCCCTTTTTTGCATCACTGTTCAATTATTTAATATGTATCCTTTTGTACTATGGGTGTGGTTTGCACAAAGTTGCACCTTAAACTATCCAATTATGGCATACCTCTAAATTTTATCATAAATATAATTTTGATATAAAAAATTCTTAAAATGGCTTAAGAATCTATTTTCATCTCTAATTATAAACTCCAAAAAACTCCAAAGAATCTATTTTCATCTCTATTTTAAACTCCAAAAAATGGTTCAAATCTTGTAGATCTATAAGTATATGAAAATCTTGAAAATGGACGGTCCAGATAATATGTTGCAAGATCACTATTTCACGGACTCAAAATCTTTTTTTCTTTTTGTATTCATAATCTCGATATCGGGATGATCAATTAGAGGGTTTTCCAACATCCAGACAATTTTTTATGAACTATTTTTGAAGCACACCTTTAATTCTACATTTTAAGGTTGCAACCTTATATAAACTTTTTCCTTTTACAATCCAATTAAAAATCATGAGTAAGCATTTTGAAATTAAATCAAAACACAATGGGTAAAATATTAAGGAAAAATTTTATATAAGTGCAAGGCTCTAAACAATCAAATTAGGGCTCACTTCAAAAATTTCACTAGAAGAGGTTGTTTTGATTCCCAAATGTCGTTAAATTCAACATCTTGACCTCAAAATGTATATACACGAGAAATAAATGGATTTTAAGTTTTGGAAATAGTGCATCTTGTAATGAGTTTTTGGACCGTCAATTTTCAACATTTTCATAGAACTACACTATTTTTTAAGCTTTAAATTTTTTAAGCAGAGATGAAAATATATTTTAAGGCCGTCACAAAGATTTCCAATATTGAAACCACATTTCTCGACATTATTTGAAGGTGCGTTTTAGTTTGATTGTTTACAGCTTCGGCTTTATACAAATTGCACCCAAATAAAATATTAAAAGGTGAGTTTAGTATAAGGTTGCCTCCTGTAGAAATAAGGCAGACCTTTAAAATTTTCTTACAGATGACACGTTATGATGGTTTGAAAATCTATTTTTATCCCTAATTATTTAAAAAATTATACAAAATCGAACAAACCAAAAAAAACTTTGAAAATATTAAAAATAAATAATCTAGAGAACTTGTTACAAGATACACTGTTTTTTTATTCGAAATTTCTTTTTTCTTCATGTCCATACATCAAAAGGTCGAAATGATGAGTTATAGAGGATTCTCGAGTTAAAAAAAAAAAAAATTTCGTGAGCTTTCACCCAAATGGAATGGTTAATATCTGAGGCTTTGACATATTTCCCCTTGTTTTAGTTTTAAAGTGTTGGGCGCTTAACCATAACTCCCCCCATCCCCCCCCCTCCCCCAAAAAAAAAAAATTTTGGAGGGTTTATTTACACTTGATTTTGTGCAAACTCGATTAACCTTTTGATCAAATTTCAGAAACAAAAAATATTGAGTTGGACCTCTTAAAATAACTTATCATCCAACAACTGAAGCATCTAAAGCGAGTTGCTCTCCAACAAATCAATGTCTGCTTTGGGCCAAATCGAGGCCCTAGGAAATGTTAGTATGGTCCACAAAAGTTTTCTCCACACACATATTTTCTCAAACAACTAAACGATGACTCAATAGGCACGGTCCAAATGAACCACAAGCCAAGCCTAAAGCCTAACCACCATCACCATTCTCGTCAGAGCTTTTTTCCAACTAATTGGTGAAGCCTAAATCCTCGTTAAAAATTAAAACTAACTAATTTGGATTAAGAACCATTTCTCAGAGAACAATCTCAAAATGGACTATGAACATATCATCAAAAAGAAATGTTCTAACAATTTCTTTTTTGGTAACTCCTAATTGGCTACCATGATATGCATGACACTATATTAACCAGATATAACTTTATCCTCAAGCACAACCAACCCACTTATCCTCAAGCACAACCATCCCACTTAACACCTTTCACAGGTGATGCAGACTTTGAAAGGATTAGAGTGCATGCCCGATGAATTTAGTAGAACATAAGAAAGAGAAACCATTGCTGGTACATAGAGATTCTAGGCTCCCTGCCATAGACCACATAAAACACTCTCCATGCCACACACAAACAAACAGAGAGAGAGAGAGAGAGAGAGAGAGACGTACAGTAAGTAAAGTAGACACTACTAGTATATATATATATATATATATATATATATATATAGAGAGAGAGAGAGAGAGAGAGAGAGAGATAACAATAACGTAACGTAACGTAAGTAAAGTTAAGTTTAAGTTAGTAAGTAAGTAGTAAGTAAGAAGAAGAGAGAGAGAGACGTACG